AATTTTTTCACCCACACAGCCCTCAGGAGGAGTGGTAGGAAGTAAAGGCACAAGAAGGCTGAGTTTAGAACTTAGATTTTTGAGGGAACCCAGAAGTATTTTTTTCTGTCTGGGGGGCTAACTTTGCTCCAGAGGCTGAGGCCATGCCCACACCAATGAAACTGGCTGGTCAAACCAGTGGCCGTGTGTCCCAGATAATCAAGTCTATACCTATCCCCTGAGTCATTCTCACTTTTTCATCACTCGGTAATTACACAACAAGTGCAATTTGCTTTACTAATAATAGGTCAGCGCAGTTAGAACAAGCAAGTTCATTGTGTAGGCAGGAATGAATGTTTCCATGACAGTAAGCTTTCCTTGTTACACCACTCGCTGCTGCAACTCTTTTCTGATGTAAGGGACTCATCTATTCACTTAAGCATTTTTCAAGCTGGGCCCTGTACTAGGTATTTGAGATACAAAGACTCACAAGGCTCTCAGGACATCAAAGTCTGTGGACAAAATTTCAGATTTACAGAAAAGTTGTAAGACTAGTACAAATAATTCCCATATATCTTGTATCCAGATGTACCAATGTTTACACTTTACGGTATTTATTTTCTTTCTTTCTCTCTGCGTACATATATACATATATATGTTTGTGCCTACACACACATATACACACACACTTCCACGAACCATTTGAGAGTAAGTTGCAGGTATGTTGTTCTTTGTAAATATCCTAATGTGTATTTTTTCATAATCACAGTATAATCATCAAAATCAGGAAATTAATACTGATAGAGTAAAATGATCTAATCATAGACCTTATTCAGATTTTGTCAACTATCCTAACCATGTCTCTTATAGCTAAAGAAATCCTGGACCATGCGTTGGGTTCAGTTGACATGTCCCTTCATCTCCCTTAACCAGCAGCAGTTCCTTATGACATTGACTTTTCTCGATGAGCAGAGGCCAGTTATTTTGTAGAACGTCCCTTATTTTGGGTTTGTCTGATGTTTTCCTCATGATGACATTTAGTTATACCACAGAGTGCTGTGTTCGTTTCAGTGCATAATGTCAGGAGGCACATGATGTCAGTTTGTCTCAACACTGGGCCTTGGAGCTCTTGAACATTTAGATTTGACGTAGAAGAGGAGGAGTTTACAATGAGATAGCAAATGAGAGAGCCCAGTAAACTAGGAGAAAAACAAGAAAAATGTAGTGTCAAGGGGCCAAGAAAGAGGGAGCTGCAAACGCCATCAACTGATGCTGAGAAATCGAGTAAGATGAGGACAGAGAAGTGAACGTGGTAAGTGGGAAGATGGCGTTGTTAGTCATCTTGGCAAGAGGTTTCACTAGACTGGGGGGGCCTCCTTTGGAGATGAAGAGAGCATGGGAGGTGGAAAGTGCGGATATCATGTATAGACATCTCCAAGGCAACACTCCCAAACTGATCTATCTCTTGACACTCCCCCACTCTCTCCCTATATTCCGATCTCTATTGGGGCCCAAGCTAGGAATCTGGGAGACATTCTCAAATTCTTCCTTTCCTTCAGACCTCATATGCTTTTATTTATAAAGTCATCTCCATTTCACCTCGTAGATACTTATTTTGTTTTTTTTGCTTCATGCCTATTTCCCCAGTATAGGAC